TGCGTGTATGTGTGTATGTTTGGGTTCATTTTTGTTGCTGTGTGCATTCAATTCATTTCAGGCCAATTGCAGGGTTTTCTGGGGCTGTGACTCACCCAAGGTCATCCAGTGGGTTTCCATGGCTGAGCAGAGAATTGAACCCTGGTCTCCAGAGTCATAGTCCAACACTCAAACCACTTGCACCACGCTGGCTGTTTCATTGCTTCATTGATGCCAGTTTTAACCCACTGTTCTGGAGGGGAAAAGAGGGGTAAAAGCTTGCATAGAAACACCAGGTTTTCTGGATCATGAGAGCAAAGGAGCTCATTGTTGTCAATCATTTTTTCCTCTTATAAAACTTTCAAGCCATGGCAGCCAAAAAGAACCTTCATGGATAGTGGCAATATATCTCCATGTTTTTCTTGATTCTCTCTTAATAATGGACCAAAAATGAAATAGATTTTAAAAAATAAGGGCATATAAGGGAAAATCTATGCAGATCAACTTGTAGTGTCCTCTCCAACATGATTTAAAATTAGGACTAATGAACAAAACTTTGACTAATTGATCAAATTGACTCAAGGTTGCATTTTCTCTATGCCTCTCCAACCAATCGACCAACTCCACATTTCAATTGGAATTGACCTTCTCTGTTTATTCAACCAGAAACGTTACTTCATTGATGTAATTAAGAGCTTAGATAGCTTCCAAATCTTTCCAACAGAATAACCAAGTTCCTTTGTCACAGAAAGAAACAGAAAAGAATCTAGTATAACCTTAGAGGACTGAACATTTTTGCCTGGCATGGATTTTTGTGGCTTGAAGCCCAATTCGTCAGATGCATTGGATGAAGAGTTGTCTGAACGCCCCTGAAATCTTTGTTTTTGCATGCAAATTATACGAACAGTTTACATGTCTGGGTTTGTCTTTTAAGAGCAATTAAGAGGCAAGGATCAGGAGGGAAATGCAGTAGTTTTATTGACTCATCCTCTGTTGTCTTTCCAGGAACCTGAAGCGCTTGGATGTCTCAGACCTCCCTTCTGTTAGCAAAAAAGGTTTAATTCGGATTCTGTTGGAGGAGATGTTGCCTCTGTGTGACATTGTAGGAATGGACTATGGGGATAACATGGACCTGCAGTTTGAAGATGCCATGAACAGAGGCGAGATGGAGGAGCATCTGGAAGCTGCCAATAACCTGAAAACACGTTAAATGCCTGTGTGAGCAGAGAAAGTACTTTTTCAGAGAGGACATCCTCTCCTGGTC